TGTTTCAAAAAAAATTATTTAGTCATTTCTTATGTTTGTCTTAATTAAAGAAAAAATTCAAAAAAATTAGGATATATAAATAGTAACTCTTTTCGATTTCCTATTAACTTGTTTTGAAGTCCTGTAGTACTCCCACGATCTTGTTTTGACTGATTAGACTCTGTTCCATTCTATATGATAGTATCAAATTTGAAGACATAGGCAACTACTTTGAAGACAATAAGATTCACTAAGATACCCATTCTGGTTTGACTATTGTCTTCTTTGGAAGTCCTGTAATGTTTACAATGCCTAAGTTTTATTGGTCTTGTTCTCTACTGTTTTGTCCAACTTTATAATATCTAATAAGATAGACAATGCTTTTTAAGGAAACAAGGGACAACGTTGATAACCATTGTTGATAAACTTGTACTCTGTTCTACACCATGTGCTATGTCTATCCTTGGTATTGACTGACAGCTTTGTTTTGCCATATTTGACTGTATTCTCCCCCCCCCCCCAAAGAAAGTAATAAGCACTAAGGAGTAATAAAATCCAAGATGTGTAAATTTTGTTGTAAAAAAGAGAGGAAAAAAAAAAAAGAAAAAGAGCTCTAACGGATATAACAGCAAGTGTGTTTGGGGGTGTTAAATAGCTGACTTTATCAATGTTTTTGGAACATTGAACACAGCTGTTTGCAGTCTCCCTGTTTGAATGTCCACCTTGTGTTCTTTGATACTGTGATTTGAGGAACTATTTTCAAGAAAATAGTGTGTAATCTACTAGCAGGTAATTTCTTACTGTTATGGTTTTTTGTTTTGTTTTGTTTTGTTTTGTTTTGTAGTTCTGTATTGCGTGTACCCTTACGCCGCTTTGGTTTGTTTTGTGTTTTTCTCTTTTTCCTCTTAAATAAAAAAAAAAAAGTACACACATGCAGGTATATATATATTTATGTGTGATATAGCAGAAATTAGTGATGTAGATATGTGCTAGTTTATAGTCAGAATGTTGTATTTAATTGTCCACATAGAAATTAATATACACAATAAATATGCTTACTCATGTATTCACAGAAATATGCAGTAAGTTACCTTGAGATTTTTAAAGTTGAGCATTATTTTAAAAAAATCTTTAAATGCATTAAATTTTCAGTTTACCTTTTCTAAACCAATTAAAAGTTTAAAGTAAATATTATAGGAGCACTCATAACTTTATAGCAACAGGTTAACTGAAGAAAGAAAATCTGTGCAATTTGGCAGTGGTTCAGAAAATATGTGAACCTGTCATTGCAAGCAGTCTCAGAGGGCGAAATGCATTACAGGAGCTAATTAACCTTAGAAAATAATTACACAAATATGCAAATGTTGTTTAGATAATTCCATGTGTTATCAGCTCAGGTAGTTCATCATAAATACAGACCTGCAGTACCTAGGTAGTGGAGTCTGGCATACTTGATAAGGCTTCCCTTACTGCTTCACTTTCGTTTGGCATTTAGCGATTAATGGTGGCAAGAGTACATGAGAAATTTCAACCTGTACTCTGAATGCAGCATAATTCCACAGTGTAAATAGTGTATGTATTTTGCTACTCACAAACTCTAATTAATGGATTTACTTCTTATCTTTAAATGTATTTTGTACATTTGCATATTCTCAAATTATACAAGTTAGCTCAAGTCATTGAAATATAAATATGCACTTTTCTGTGAAATTCATGGAGTAACCTGCAGAACAGATTTAGTTTGTTTGCATTTCTGTAATTTCAGTGTATTACAAAGTCTTTCTTATTGAAATTTGTTTAGTCTCAAAATACATTGTTGGCAATTTATCCACTCTGGATTATGGTTTATAAATATATAATAATTGTGGACACAGTGTCGGCTGCAGGTTGGAATGTCCAGATTTGCCTTTGTATATCAACACTTCTTTTATAGTGTTAAATTTGTAGTTCATAAAACTATTCAGACATTTATATTTGTCTTGTTTGCTTTTCCTTCATTGCTGAGACAAAATACTTGATGCTCAAAATGAAGGAAAGAAAGATTTTGGAGGTTTTAGTTTATACTCAGCTGGCTCCAAGGCAGAGTGGTACATGGCAGAAGATAACAGTTTATGGCAGTAGAAAAGAGCAAAAGCAGCAAGAGCCAAAGGGAAGGAGCACATCCAGAAGACTCTTTCTGTCTCTTATATTGTACTGCAGACCACACACACTGGGGTATAGCACTCACACCCATAACCCCAACATTGGACCATGAATCATTGATAGACTCTAAAAGCCTGCCTCCATGACCACATGAGACTTTGGGGAGACACCCAAACACAAACTATAACAATGTTTAAAACTATTCTAAGTGGGTTATATTCCATACTTAACAATTTAAAAAGGCTGCAACTCTTTGGCAGAGTTCATTAAATCCTAAAATGATGGGGACACTATAAATTGTAAAAAGCCTCAATTTTGAAAAAAATCTTTTAAAGCAGACACATAAAAGCCAAGTTTTTATGGCTAAGATGTATCTCTTTTATCACTCATTTTTCTGAAGTGGTATTTTGAATAAAACTATTTCTTTATGCCACTAAAGAATTCATATGGCATTATGAAGTTTTTTTTAAATGATTGCAGTTCATTATTCCTGTCAGTTTTGTTTTAAATGCAGTACTGTCCTTACTTTACCTTGCTTTGTGCCAATAAACTAGTAATCTCAGGCCAGTGCACTATAGGTAGTCTTCAAATTTATTGTAATTTTTCTGCTTTTCAGTTACCATCAAGTTTTTAGCTATCATTTCAGACTCTAAACTTGTTTGAAATAACCCTTCTCATTTGCTGCTGGTAAATGTACAATAGGCTCAGACCAGATCCTACAATTTTTTAGATATGGAGTGATAAAGATGGTCTTTCCTGCTAAGATATTGATTCCCCCAAGAAGCCATCAAAAAACACTACGTTGTATTTTTTTACTTTTTTGTTCTTAAAGCTTTTATTACAAAAGGCAATGTCCTTTGTAGAAATCTAGGGCAGTTCATAAAAGTGAGCAGCTAAAAAGAGACAATGCAGTGTTACCATCTAGAGGCTGCATAGCTCCTTTGAGTCGTTCTGTTTTTTCAGTTGAAATGTTTTTTTTTTTTTTGGTGGGGGGGATGCATGGTGGTGTGCACCTGTTGTCTCAGCACTCTGGAGAGGCCGAGGCAGGAAAATTACAAGTTTGAGCCCAGCCTGGGCAAGTTAGTGATGTCCTATCTCAAAACAAAAAATGGACTGGGGATGCCTGGTAGAAAAAAGAAAGGGCAGGATGGGAAGAGAGCGAGAAAGAAATAGAGAAAGAAGTCGTTTAAAGGTATTTTACTTAGTGAAAATTTTGCTACCTATAAAATCAGCCAAGGTACATATATGACATTATAAACTCATTGAGTAACTGCATACTATTTCCTTAGAAAAACCGTAATGTATTTAAATATTTGTATACATTATTGCATACTTAAGCTTTATCCAAATTTTTGCTCCTGTAAATGAGATAGTGATGAACATCTTTGAACATCGATCTTTTGCCATATTCCAGTTTAGTAGAAACTAAATTTATGAAATGAAGATTAAATACTCCTACATCATGTTTTTTGAAATCCACTTGCTATTTTGTCCTCATTGTTATTGCCAGTAGTGCCAACGTCATTAATCATTTATTGTGCGCCTGTAGGATGCTTTGTTTTATTTATACTTTGAATCCAAAAGGAAATGTATTTTTAAGTTACTTACATTCTAAGCAGGAGAAAAGAATTATCAGATTAAAGAAAGAAGATGAAAAAATACAATGAAATGGTACAGGATTCAATTTAAACTACTGTGACTGATGGGAGAGCTGACAGGTAACCTTGAACCAACACTATTTTGAGTAGTTTTGACAGGGCAATAATAATACAGGTAAATAATTTTAAGTACCTTTCATATAGTTCTTATAAAACCCTTTTCATTTCTGCATGTGATTTTGACTTTCCATTAACTTTCCATTTCCTAGAAAACCTGTTGCTATGGTGTTTTAGGTTAGGTTTTCCCAATTAACAGAGAAAAGTCTTCAGCATAATAGACATTCAGGAGCAATCGCTGAATAGTTTGTGGTAAGATTTTTAGGGTAGAAATGGGAGTCAGGTTGGTTGTCTTAATATCCATGACAGTCTTAGGAAATCAGTCTTTTAGAATATTGAAGGGTCTAAGAAATAATTATACAAAGAGTTTCATAATCTATTGAGTTCTTACTGGGTTTATTTTTATTAGCATTATTTAGCTTTTTTATTTGATTGTTTTTGGCTTTGTTTTCCACATTATCTTGGTTTTTGTTTTAACTACATGCATCACCAGTGGATATACAGCAAAATGAAGTCCTGTTGGAATTTTAAGTTGTATACATACCTACAGTGCACACTCATACACAAGCACACACATACAGGTTTATCAGGGCTTAGTAAGTTAGGAGAAATGTAGAAGCCTCTAGATTTATATATGTAGGCTTTTTCCAGTTTTAGAAGTGAAATATATATGGGAAATGCTTTCAGAAAAAAAGTATATGTGTTTTAATAAATTCGATAGAAAATATCCATTATTCATTTTGTCCATATTTTCAGCTTACAGTGGCACTTAAAATCTTATAAATCAAACCACTTACGTGTGCGTGTAATATAAATATCTTCAGTTATAAATAAAAATGTAATTGTTAGTATTGCATTATTTTATAAGATAAAATTATAATGCCCTTCTATATATTTTTATCACTTAAATATTTTAATACCTATATTCTTTCCCTTAAAAATTTTTTATTTAAAATTTTTTTCAGATTATAGTAGCAATTAAGCTTAATTTATTAAAACTCAGTATTCTCTAATTTAAATTTTCAGTACGGTTCTTTTATTATTTTGAATTAATGATTACCATCTTATTTCTTATGCTATATTTACAAACATATAATGTAATTGTTGATCACTGTGATAACGATTAGATAAGTCTGTACTATAGGATATCTATTTTCTTTGTAGGAAAATGGCTCTCCCGAAGAGCATGCAGTGTATGTTTGGGACCACTTCATAGCCCAGTCCGCAGCTGAGAATGTATTTTTTGTGGCTCACAGCTATGGAGGACTTGCTTTTGTTGAACTGGTAAGCGTAAAATTAATTTGTTTTAATTATCAATCTCTTTACAGTATATATGCTCTATTTCCTTTGTCTTGATACTTTTTTTTTGTAAAGAATACAAATAAAATATTTTGAACAGATGATTTGTGATATTTAAAAAGAATATACAATTTATTTTAGCATGACAAAGCTTTAAAATCATTACCAGAAATCTTTCCCCTGTTTCATATTTTTACATACTTTCAAAGTTTCTATATGTTAGTCCCAATTTCTGTACATATCATATTCTGTGTATCTAACAGAAACCTGTTACCTATAAAATTCCCAAGAGACCTTTTGACTATTTGCTTACTATTTAGTACTTGGTATTTGATCAGAATTGACAAAATTATTATTAAAACTGTAAGAAAGTTTCTGTTAATGTTTGTAACTTAAATGCATTTATTAGTCATAACAATTTGTATTTCAAAATAACCCAATTCTTAGATTTAAGATTGTGTGTACATAATGGAAAAATTACAAAACTTTTTGAATTTTTGTCTGTATTAAGTACAATACTAAAAGTAGCACAATCTTGTGCCACTTTGGTTAATGGAATATAAGCTACTCTAAAAAAGTATTAATGAAATTTTTGTACCTCGATGTTCATATTCTCTTTTGTCACAAAAAGGTACTCTTGCTATAAAAAATGATTCACTTGATAAAGGTGCATTTAATAATTTTAAATTATAGTAGATACTCGTGGTAAGCACAACATTGATTGTCTAATGTTTGTAGATATTTTTGTTTGTCATGGATATTAAATATATTTACACAACCTTTTCAATTGCCCTATACTTTATTGCTTAACACATGATTTAGACATAAAGCCAGTGTTGACACTTGGCACCTGAAAATACTTTAAGTGTCCAAAATCTACAAATGCTTATGCTATTGTAAGATCAATAAATAAGTTAAATCTTTTTTTCTTACATTGATTTCAGCCAGGAGGGTTACTTTAATTTTACTAAATTTGTTTGTTGTATATATATAAAACATCTGAAGCTAGATCTTTAACACATTGATATGATGTACTGCTAAAAACATAAATCTTTCAAATAATTCCTTTCAACCTTACAGATTTATAACTATACAATATAGACTAAATAGCATATTTTTTCCTTGTAAGCCACTCAATTACTTAAAACGTGAACTTTCTTGAATTGTACACCGACTTAAAGTGTGTTTGAAGACCCATAACACTAATTGAACTTCAGATTCCTATAAAACATTTTTTTTAAACTTTAAGGAAATGCATAAAAGCATTGTGTATGAATTTTGCAATTTAAGTACATTTCAAACCATTTTTCAGATGAACTTAAGATGCCGGGGCTGACAGATGACCAGGGTGTCAGTCTTGTTTTGCCTATCCTCCTTGTCACACACTGGTGGATATTTCTCCACTTTTGTTCCACTTTAATATAAAGCACACAGATGTTTCAGAACAAGACTTGACTTCTGACCTTGAGGCTATTAGGGTCAGGGTCCTCAGGGCCTGTGAAATTATCACAAGCTGAGCTAAAGTTTTTCTCCATCGCAGGAAGTAACCAGTAAGTAAGAAGTTAAAAAGGAGCTTTGTCAGAAAGACAAGATGGTCTCAGTGAGGGTCAGCTTCTGTAGTCTGCTATCTCTGCAGGAGACGCATGCATGGGAGGAGGAATATAATATAACCACTGGCACATCACATATCTGTCAAGCAACACCGGGGCTGAGAAGTCTATTTAATGTCATATACCTTGTTTAGGTTCGAAAACATTAACGGTGATTAACTCAGCTTAGTATATTTGCTACTTTTTATGAAATAACTGATTAGGATATGTAATGGGGCATACAGATGGTGATAAATGAAGGAAGCAGGGTTCCTGAGCTAGAAACATAGATTCCTCTCAGCAAATAACATTGTACACTGATGAGTTTTACATTGATTTTTGACAACTTCTATTTAAATTCACCGTGTCTCAGTTTCACAGGGCTTTTTAAGAGAGTGATGCTAAAGAGAATACAAACAGAAGTGTTTTTAAACGTTTTGCTTTGCCTTTAAGTAATATTCTTTTGTATTCTCACTGATCTGTGTTCATATATAAAATTTGTACGTATATATATATATATATATATATTTTTTTTTTTTTTTTTTTTTTTTTTAGTATATGTGCTGCCAAAGAGAGCACATTTCACGGATACTCTTCAGGGAAAAGTCATGCTGTTTAAAATGTTGGCAAATATTTATTCACAGATTTCTAAAACACAGTGTACATGAAAGTTGTTTACATGAATTCCAAACTTTAATATTAGCTTTACAAGAACATGAATTGTAAGCAATATATAAAACTTAAATTATGGCTTAAGTTTTTATCTCAATAGTGCATTGTATACATCATGCATTAAATGCTTTGGATTTAAGACATATTTACATTTTTTAAATTGTCCTAAAATTTAGTCTTAAGTAACTGTGAACACACACACACACACACACACACACACACACACACACACACACACACTGAGAAGAATACTAGTTTGTAATGTCATGTTAAATGCATGGGAATTGTTCCTAAGCCACCACTATACAAGTTCACTTTCTTCAGTCATGAATGTCAAGAAAATTCATTTTAGATGTAAAATAAATTACAAGTACAGTTCTACCAATAAATAAAATTAGTTACAGTATTTACTGTTTAAAAAAAGGTACTAGGCAGGATCTAAAATTAAATATGTCGATCACTGATTTAAAACTGGGTATAGATACACTTTAAAATTAAATGTGCTGCTAATAGATATCTGAAGATAAATTACACTGAAATTTAGAGCATACAAATTCCATAGAGATTTCATAATTTTTTAATTATGTCTTTGAAAACTAAGAACAAAATTTATGATTATATTCTATCTTAAAGTGTTGAATTTCTCCCCAAGAATGTATTACTGTCAAAGATTTATTTTCTAAAGTAGTGTTCATTTTATGATAGTAAACCTTAGAACTTGACCAAGTCTAGCCTTGTAAAAATAGTGTACATTATACTGTAGTAATGAGAAAACGATAGTAAAAATATTTTTTTCTCTGCTTTTGCTTTCACTGTACCGCAGCAATTCAGATTTTCAATTCCCTAACCTTTTCCTAGTAAAAGTAAATGTTGATAAGATAGTTCCTCTTTGTTCTAGCAGTCATGAACACAAAAATAAAAAAAAAACTATCTTATGGGTTGATAAAGCAGTTTTGAAAGTGATATATTTTACTTTGCTGTCTTTTCTGTACATTTAAAGTATTTGCTAATCTATAAAGTTAGTTATTAAAACCTTAATTTTCTATTAAAGCTTTTCTACATGATAGAATTAGAAATCATTTATCAAGTACATAGGGAAAGATCTACAAATAACATAGCTCACTTTTACTTTATGTTGTTAAGAACTTAGGATCTTTTTCTTTTGTTAAATTAGTTATCATTATAAAACTGTGCAGTTTTAAGTTGAGTCATCATCTCCTCTCCATCCACTTAGATGAAGTGATTTCATTGCTTCCATTGTTTGCCATTTTGGAGTGCTTTGTTTTTGTCTTTCCAGGTGATGATCAGTTTGGCAAAACTAAGAAACCTTTAAATTTTCTTTGACTTGGAAATGAGCTGGCTCTACTTGTCAGTGCCTGGTTACTAATTTTGCCTCACCTTACCCTCCTGTTTGCAGCCACTCAGTTTGCATTCAACTTCATTCAGTAGCCAGGACAGTGGCTCACATTTTATGGAACATTAAATATTTTAATAAATAACATTCCATCAGTTTACTGAATATTCCCAGCTGATATAAAATTAGTGTCTTTCTGGTTACTTGTATTCCCTTTTCCATGTTATTAGTGGTATATTAATAGCCACCATTAAAAACACCACTTAGAAATGTGTGAAAACAGCTCCTTTTGAAAGCATCTCTACTCACTTTTGATTTTGGTTTCTCCATGCTTGTCAGCGCTTGATTGGCACCTCACTTGCATGTGAATTAAGGAATGAAGGGAACTCTATTTTCCTGCCATTGTTCCATGCTGGGCTCCCTGGCCTCCAGGCAGTCTAAGCTACCCTTGAGCAGCTGATGGAGCACTAGTTTTTGGAGGTAGCTATGCAAGGACACGAGACCTCAGTTTACTCTCAGTAGGTCTTTTTAAATTGCATACAACATGATTTAGATTTACACTGAAGTATAAGTGGGGTGGAGCTTAGGTCTAGTTTTTACCTCTAGTGACATAGACTGTGATCTTAAAGAGGCATCAGTGCATTTTTCTTGAAATAACAAAGTAAATATCTGCTAAGTATGATCAGTGGACTGCTGGCAATCAAGAATTGAGGAGACATAAAATAAGGAACAATAAACCAAAGAAAAACTGAGCCATAATTGGTAGCAAAATAATGCAGGTTGAAAATACTTTTAGAAATGTACTTTAATCAAAGTAACTCAGTTTTAACTTTTAATTTCTAATAAAACTACAAGATACAACATAAACTCATCTTGTTTTAAAGTTGTTTTTTTATCTCTGACTTTACTTGCCCAAATGATCTAGAAACAACTTGAACATAGTGTACTACTGTCCTCACATTTGAGAACACCAGCTGTTACAACATGAGTAGTCTTAAATGTCTATACAGTTAGTTTACCAATGTAGAGTTTAAGCCTTAATGATATCTTTTTTTACCAATAAATTATTGTCTCTGATTTTCACTTAAATATTGACTGGTTTGAGACTTCTATGGGATCAATTCTTTCACATTAGATGGTGTTATCTTTTTGTCCTAATGATTATTGACTCTTCCTTCTCACTCTTCCCTTTGACTGAAAGAAATGCTTCCCTGTAACTCATTCTTCTAAGTATGATCTTTTTAATAAAAGAAGAATTTTTAAACTAAATTAAATCTTAAAAGTGTTCTCTGGCAACCTATGGAATAAAGCCAGAAGACATTCTGTTTCACCCCACCCATGAGCTTACATCGCCTCTGACTTAGTAATGAACGTACTTTCAGTATTTAAGATGTAATTTCCATATTTATTGATATATAACTGAGATCTATTGAGCTTTATTGAGATATTTATATGGCATAATATTCATCTTTTAAAGTGTACAAATCAATGATTTTAGGATATCCGTGGAATCGTACAACTATCACCAACATTTAAATTTAGATGATGCTCCCAAGTTTGTGTGTACTAGATTTTACAACAAGAGTAGTCTTAAAAATATGTATCTTAGGGTTGAGAATGTAGCTCAGAGGTAGAGCACTTGCCTAACATATACAAGGTTCATTTCCCAGCACACTCGCGCACACACACACAAATCTGCCTGTGGCATTTGGTTTTGTTAGTTGAATTAATTTTGGGGGATTGTGTGAGGTTGGGTCCAGTTATGTATATTCAGTTGTCCCAGCACCATTCATTCAAAAGATTATTCTTTACCCTTTAGTTTGCTTTAGCACCTTTGTCAAAATAACTGAACATAAATGTAAGAGTTTGCTTCTGAGCTGTATACTGTTGATATAAATTCTGTACTATTGCTATATATGCTTAGTAGCACACTGACTTGCTAATTGTACCTTGGTACTGAGTCTAGAGATAGCGAGTTCTCCAACTTTGTTCTTTTTCTGGTTTGCTTTGACTATTCAGCATCCTTTGCATTTCCAAATGAAATTTACAAACAATTTACTGACTTTGTAAAAAGCAGAAGAAACGATGATTTTGACTGGGAGTAATTTATCTGTAAAACAATTGCTATCTTGATAATACAAAGATATCCAGTCCATGAACGTGGATTATCTTTCCATTTATTTAGTTCTTTTAAACAAATTTTGTTTTCAATATACAAATTTTACTGTTCTCTTGTTAAATTTATTCCTGAATTGTTTCTCTTTTTGTTGTATTGTCAGTGAAATTGTTTCCAAGATTATTCATTAGTGGTATACAGAGAAATGTTTAATCTTTATATATTAGCCTTGTATCCCGTTACCTGTCATTTATTAGTTCATGGTTTTATTTGTGAATTCCATAGGATTTGCTGTGTGTAAGACTATCATTTGTGAGTATAGGCACTTTTTATTTTTTCCCTTTTCAATTTGGATGCATTTTACTTATTTTGATGATTTTTATTTGTTCACTCCATTGCCTTGACTCCTAAAAGCTCCAGTAAAGATTGAATAAAAGAGACTAGAGTAGACATCGTTTTCTTCTTTGTCATTTTAAGGGAAAAGCACATGATATTTCACCAAAAAGCATAGTTATTTTTCCATATATGATAGTTCTCCTGAGAACATAGTGTGCTTTTGTGCTTATATCTTTCAATCGTATCAAGATCAGATTATTAAAAGCCTGTAAAATGGAGAAAAAAAGTCAGTAATTTTTTATAATGATCATATTGTAGACTAAATGATCCATGCTGTATCACTGGAATTACCTTCAGAAAAGGCTTTTTCATTGTCCACGGAAGCAAACTACTTCCATCCTTTATGCCCTCCCTGCATTTGTACAGCTGAGAAATTGGCCTCTGTCTCTTTGTTCAACAGAACTAAGTTTCTTTGTTCAAGAAACTAAGGAGCTTGGCAAAATTAGCATACTGTATATTAAGGAAAACTCAGAGAGTGAAATACTACTTTTTAAAATTTAAATCATTAAAAATTTTTTTCTTTGATTTTATGAAAGATTTCGAGGAGAGATTTTGGACTTTACTACAGACATGAGAATGTGATTAAGGTTTTAAAGTCTTTTATAAAAACTACGAAAAATATTTTAACTCATAAAGAGGCTGCTTTTACTGCTGTTATGGCTTTATGAGTATTACTTATAAGCTCTCTTCTTTTTAGATTACACATTGCCATCTTAAAAATAGTTGTTCAGGTTACAAAATTAAAGCACACAAAGTGGACATTCAAACAGTGAGAGTGCAAACAGTGGTGTTCAGTAATCCAACAAAAACGTAGTAATATGGTTATCTGTCTTATACACTTAAACATACATGTAATGGTTTCCTTTAAAGCAGTTTCTTTTCCTTTCTTTTTTACAATAACAATTGCACATTTTGGGTTTTATTCCTCCCACAGTTCTTATTACTGTCTTTTTTTTGGAAGAAAATAAAAACAAATGTGACAAAACAAAACAGAGCCAGTCAAAACAAAGGATGGACACAATACATGATGTAAAAACAGAATACAAGGTGATCAACAATGGTTACCATAATGCCTCTTGCTACCTTAAAAAGAATTGCCTTTATCATCAGGGTAATAAAATTGAACAAAACAGTACAGAACAAAACCAATAAAACCGAAACATTGAGACATTACAGGACTTCAAAAGAAGATAATAGTCAAACCAGAATGGGCATCATAGTGAATCTTACTGTCTTCAAAGTAGTTGCCTATATCCTCAAACTTGATACTATCAAACAAAACAGAATAGAGTAAAATCAGTCAAAACAAGATGATGAGAGTAATACAGGGTTTCAAATCAAGTTAATAGGAAATCAAAAAAGTTACTATAATATATGCTGCTTTTTAAATTTTTTTCCTTAATTAAAACATTTTTTTTTTTAAAAAGGAGATTGAGATAAAAGAGGACATAACTACATAACAACACAAGTCAGGACAGAACAATTTAAGCAACATAGGGTGTTTTACCACAAGATAAACTGACATAATAGTAGTTACCATAGTGTCTCTTTTCTTGAAATATTTGAGTATTACATCATATACTATAGCATCAAACATATCAAGACAGTATGAAACCATTCAAGAGAATAGAAGTATTACAGGGTATTTAGAACCAACTAACAGAAAACAAACAAAGGTTTCTATATTATCTCCTTGCCTATAAAAATTTTTATTTATACTATCACTTATAATAAAACCCAATAAGATACAACATGATAAAAGCAAGGGAGACAGAAGAACAATAACTTGATGGGACCTGAAAACAATATGGTATTACATCAGCACTAGCTACTATGATGTCTTGTTTTCTTCAAAATAGCTGTTCATACCATCACAGACAATAAAATCAAACAACTCAGAATAAAACCATTCCAATTAATGAGTGAAAACATTATAAGGCTTCAAAGCAATATAATGGGGAATCATGATTACCACATACTTTTATGTGTTCTTATCATGTCTTACACTAGGGAAACTATTCGGTGTTTATATATGTGAGTTTGATTTGTTTCACTTATGAGTATGGTCTGCACCCATTTATTTATAAATATCTCAATGTGATCCTTCTTTATAACTGAGTAGTACTCCATCATATAAAAACGCCACAACTTTTTTATCCATTCCTCAGTTAATGGACACTTAGGTTGTTTCCAAGATCTGGCTATTACAAATTGTGCTGCTATAAACATGGGTGCACATAAATCACTGTGGTATGATGCTTTAAGTTCTTCTGGGAATATGCCCAAAAGTGGGATAGCTGGAACAAATGGGACTTCCAATCCCAGCTTTTTGAGAAATCTCCAGACTGACCCCCACAATGGTTGCACCAGTGTACACTCCCATCAACAGTGCAGGAGAGTTCCTTTTTCCCCACAGCCTCTCCAGCATTTGTTGTTGTTGGTTTTCTTGATCCTGGCCATTCTTTCAGGAGTGAGATGAAATCTCCGTGTTGTTTTAATTTGCATTTCTCTAATGAGTAATGATGATGAACATTTTTTCATGTATTTCTTTGCCATTTGTATGTCTTCATCTGAGAATTGTGTATTCATCTCAGATGCCCATTTTTGGATTCACTCTAGGGGTCTGATTTTTTTTTTAATTCTTTATATGTTTTAGACAGAAGTCCTTTGTCTGAGGGACAGTTCACTAACATTTTTTTCCCAGTTTGTGGGTTTTCTTTTCACTATGCTGGAGATTTCTTTTGACATGCAGAAACTTTTTAATAAGAGGTGATCCCAGTTATTGATTCTGGGAAGTATTTCCCATGTGGTTTGATTCCTGTTCAAGAATTCTCTACCTACTCCTATGTCTTCAAGGTTTTTACCCAATTTGTCTTCCAATAGATTTAGTGTTTCTGTTTTAATATTTAGATCTTTGATCCATTCAGATTTTAATTTAGTACATGATAATAGGTATGGGTCTAGTTTTAGTTTTCGGCATATGGAGAGCCAGTTTTTCCAACACCATTTATTAAAGAGACTGTTGTTCTTCCAGTGAACCTGTTTGGCCCCTTTATCAAAGAGAGGGTGGTTGAGTGTGTTTGTAATTGTGGTTGTATCTTCTAATCTATTCCATTGACCTTCGGTTCTGTTTTGATTCCAGTACCATTTTGATTTTACTATGGTTGCTTTGTAGTATAACTTCAAGTCAGGGATTGTAATGCCTCCTGCCTTGCCGTTGCTGCTTAGAACTGTCTTTGCCATTCTAGGTCTCTTCTTGTTCCAGATGAATTTTAGGAGTGATTTGTCTAGATCTATGAAGTATGTTGATGGTATTTTCATTGGCATTGCACTGAATCTGTATAACAGTTTTGGGAGAATGGCCATTTTCACAATATTTATTCTTCCTATTCATGAGCAAGCATGTCTTTCCAGTTTCTGAGATCCTCTTCAATTTCTTTGTTCAGTGTATTATAATGTATAGGTCTTTCCTGTGTAGGTCTTTCACTTCTTTCATGAGAGTAATTCCTAAATGTTTCATTTTTTGGGTTGCTAGTGTGAAGGTTGTGGCTTCTCTTATTTGTCTGTCAGTGATTTTGTTGATAGTGTATAGGAATGCTATTATTTTTTCAGTATTGATTTTGTATCCAGCTACATTGCTGAATTTATTTATTATTTCTAAGAGTCTTTCAATGGAGTTTTGGGGGTCTTGTATGTAGAGTATCATGTCATCTGCAAATAATGATAATCTTAATTAATTAATCTTTTTCTTTTCCTATTTTTACCCCTTTTATTTCTCTCCCTTGTCTAATTGCTCTGGCTATTATTTCCAGTACTATATCAAATAGGAGCAATGATAAGGTACATCCTTGTCTTGTGTCTGATTTTAAAGTAAAAGCCTTCAAGTTTTTTCCATTTAGTGTGATACAGGCTGTTTGTTTTTCATAGATGGCTTTTATTATATTGAGGTAAAGACCATCTATTCCAATTTTCTGTAAGGTTCTTATCATAAATGAGTGTTGGACCTTATCAAAAGCTTTTCCTACATCTATAGAAATGATCATGTGATTCTTACTTTTGGCTTTATTGATATGGTGGATTACATTTATTGATTTACGTATGTTGGACCATCCCTGCATGGCTGGGATGTATCCCACATGGTCATGGTGTATAATCTTCTTGATGATTTGCTGCATCCTATTTCCCAATATTTTATTGAGGATTTTTGCATCTATGTTCAAGATTGGTCTGTAGTTCTCTTTTTTAGTTGTGTCTTTCTCAGGTTTTGGTACTAGAGTAATATTTGCTTCCAGGAATGACTTAGGAAAGATTGCTTCCCTTTCGATTTCATTGAAGAGTTTGAGGAGTATCGTCATTAAGTCTTTTTTGTACTTCTTGTAGAATTCTGCAGTGAATCCATCTGGGCCTGGGCTCTTCTTTGTAGGTAAGGACTTAATTACATTTTCAATTTCATTAATAGAAATTGGGTTATTCAGCAGTTTTACATCTTCTTGACCAAGCTTTGGTAGTTCATATGTTTCTAGGAATCTGTCCATTTCTTCTGTGTCATCAAACCTATGAGAGTAGAGGTTTTTGAAATAGGAGTCAATGATCTTCTGGATTTCTACAGAGTCTATAGTGATTTCACCTTTTTCATTCCTTGTTGCATGAACTTGAGCTTTTCCTTCCCTTTTTTAATAAGGTTGGCTAGGGGCTTATCAATTTTATTTATTCTTTCAAAGAATCAACTCCTTGATTCGTTGATTCTTTGGATTGTTTTCTTAGTCTCTATTGCATTGATTTCTGCTCTAAATTTTATAATTCCTCTCTTCTTTTGGCTTTGGGCTTTATTTGCTCTTCTTTTTCTAGTTGTTTGAGGTGTAACATCTGGTTATTTATTTGTATTCGTTCTGTTTTCCTAATGGGAACTCAGTGCAATAAATTTTCCTCTGAGGACAGCTTTCATTGCATCTCACGAATTCTGATAAGTTGTATTTGAATTTTCGTTTGCTTGTAGGTATTGTTTAATTTCTTCTTTAATTTCCCCTGTGACCCACTGATTACTCAAGAGTGTGTTATTCAGTTTCCATGTGTTTGTGGAATTTTTGCAGTATCTTTTATCGTTAATTTCTAATTTCATGGCGGTATGATCCGATAACATGCAAGGGATAATTTCAACTTTTTTGCATTTATTTAAATATGTTCTGTGAGCTAATATATGATCTGTTTTTGAGAATGACCCATGTACTGCTGAGAAGAATATTTATTCTGATGTTGTTGGATGGAGCACTCTGTATATGTCTATGAAGTCCGTTTGTTCACAGGTGTAATTCAGTTCTGTTATTTCTTTGCTGATTTCCTGTCTGGTTGATCTATCCCTTGGTATCAGTGGTGTGTTAACATCTCCTGTTATAATTGTGTTACTGCTAATTTGGTTTTCCATTTCTGTTAGTACTTGTTTTATATAACTGGGTGCTCTGGAATTTGGTGCATATATATATTTAAGATAGTTATCTCTTCCTCTTGAAGTTTTCCCCTAATTAGTATGTAGTGACCTTCTTTATCTCTTCTGATCATTATTGGTTTGAAATTCAGATTATCTGCAAACAGAATAGCTATCCCCGCTTTTTTCTGGGTTCCTGTTGCATGAAGTATTGTTTTCCATCCTTTGACTTTCAGTCTGTGAGTATCCTTTTGGGTTAGATGGGTTTCCTGTAGACAGCATATGGTTGGATTTTGTTTCTTGATCCAGTCTGCCAGTCTGTTTCTTTTAATTGGTGCATTGAGACCATTTCCATTAATGGTATAACTGTTATATGTTGGTTTATTGTTGACATGTTATGTTTCTGCTGTTGCATCTTTTTCTTTCTGTTCTGTTTAATTGTCTGCTTTGCTTAGTGTTTTTTTTTTTTCCTAAGTGTATCTAAACTGTCTTTCAGTATTCTTTGCAGGCTCGGCTTGGTGATCATGAAGTTCTTCACCTTTGTCATAGAAGTGTCTTATTTCTCCATCTATTTTGAAGGACAGTTTTTCAGGGTACATCAGTCTAGGTTGGAAATCATTTTACTTTAGGATTTGAAATACTTCACTCCATGCTCTTCTTGACTTTATTGTTTGTGCTGAGAAGTCTGCTGTAATTCTGATAGGTTTTCTGTCTTTTTTCTCTGACAGCTTTTAATATTCTATTCTTAGCTTGGATTTCTTGGATGGTGATTGTTATATGTCTGGGTGTAGTTCTATTTTGGTTATGACTATTTGGAATTCTATATGCTTCACTGATCCTGATGTTGGTTTCCCATCTCATGTTTAGGAAATTTTTAGCTATTACTTCTCCAAATATCTCCTGATATCCTTTATATTGTTCCCTTCTTTTTCATTTATCCCTATCAATCTTATGTTGCTTTTCTTTGCATCATCTTGCAGTTGTTGAATTGTTATTTCCTGATTCCTTGTTATTTTTAAAAGATCTTTCCTTTCCTGTTCACTTGCTGCAATCTTGCCTTTAAGGTCTGAAATTCTGTCTTCACTTTCATTGAGGCTCTTTTTACAACTTTCAATGGAATTTTTGATTTCCTGTATATCTCTTTGCATCTGCTTTATGTATTGTTTGTTTCTTATATTGTTCGTCCAGAGATTCCATCTTTTTGTTTAGTTCCTACAGTTTTTTAACTGTGTCTTCTTTAGATATGCTCAGCATCTCCTTCATTTCTTTCATCATTTCTTCTTTTACCTGGGAGATTATTTCTAGTTTGAATTCCTTTAAAGTTTCCTAAAATTGCTTCTTTATTTCAGTTGCTATTATGTCTGATATTTCAGGTGTATGGCATATATCTTCTTCTATGTACATACCTCCTAAGGTTTCTTGTGATGGATTGGAGGTTTGAGATTGTAATTTGATGTTTCGTTTTGTCATTTTCCTGTATTTCTGTGTTTCATGTGTTATTCCAAGGCTTTCCCAGGGTCTGTTGGAAATCCTCTTTTATGCCTTCAGCTCCTGGAACTGTGGTTGTCTAGTTCCCCAGATTGAGAGAGGGTTACTTGGAGTGGTGCAGGCCCGCTCAAGACCTGCTGAGTTGGTCCAGTGCAACAGGATGCAGCGAAATTCCCTGTCATGGGCCAAGTGAGGATCCCAAACTAGCTGGGCTCAGGGGATGGTGCGGGGGGATACTCATCCCAGGCCATCCTGTGGAACCGTTGGCGCCCACTTGCTTAGAACTCTAAGTCCGCCAAACATGGCCAGGAGCTGGGAGGCCGTTGCAGGTCCGCTCAGGATCTGCCGCACTGATCCAGTGCAACCTGAAACCACGAAATTCCCTGTCAGGGGCCAAGGGAGAGTCCCAAGCTAGCTGGGCTCAGGGGATAGTGCGGGGGGATTCACATCCCAGGCATACTGCCTCTGGAACTGTTGGCGCCTGCTTGCTTAGAACTCTAGAGTCCGCCAAAAATGACCAGGAGCTGGGAGGCTGTTGCAGGTCCGCTCAGGATCCGCCGCACTGGTCCAGTGCAACCGGAAACCAGGAAATTCCCTGTCAGGGGCCAAGGGAGATTCCCAAGCTAGCTGGGCTCAGGGGATAGTGCAGGGGAAACTCACTCCAGGCCGCCTAGCCTCTGGAACGGATGGTACCCGCTTGCTCAGAACTCCAGAATCCGCCAAGCTTGGCTGGGAGCGGGGAGGCCATTGCAGGCCTGCTCAAGACCTGCCGCACTGGTCCAGTGCAACTGGGAGCCCGAAATTCCCTGTCCAGGGCCAAGCGGGGGTCCCAAGCTAGCTGGGCTAGGGGGATGTTAAGGGAGACACTCACCCGCCCCCCCCCCCGAAACAATGATGCCAACTGGTTCAATACTCCACAGTCCGCCAAGCATGGCTGGGAGCTGAGAGACCTTTACAGGCCCACTCAGGACCTGCCGCTCTGGTCCAGTGCAACAGGATGCTGTGAAATCCCTGTCAGGGGTGGAGCAAGTATCCCAAACTAGCTGGGCTAGGGGGATGGTGCGGGGGACACTCACCCCGCTGCCTCTGGAACTGATGGCACCGCTTGCTTAGAACTCCAGAGTCCACCAAGCATGGCCGATAGCGGGGAAGCCTTTGCAGGCCTGCTCAGGACCCGCTGTGCTGGTCCAGTGCAACCAGAAGTCGCAAAATTTCCTCCTTATAAGCTCTCTTACAAGTAAAATTTCCAACCAGAGACAAACTTTTTCCTTGTTTCATTTGTTTATTTAGTTAGTCATCAAAGCAATTTAACTTCTATTCTAGATCCAATCCTTATCGAGTACTTTGCTAACAGTGCCTCAGGGGAGTGAAGTAGACTCAGACTCAAAGCAGACTGAGTCCATGTCAAGGTAAGTAACAGGTGAACAAGAATGGAAAACAGATCTAAGTGAGGTCTTGTTACCAGAGTGCAGAATGGTTCAGAGGAGCTAAGTCACTTACAGAGGGTTTCTTTGCAAGAAGCAGTAGGTAGCCAGGGGTGATGGCACTTGGCTATAATCCCAACACTCAGGAGGCTAAGGCAGGAGGATCATTGCAAGTTTAAGAGCAGCATACGGTTGACAAAGTGAGCTCAAGGCCAGCCTGAACTGTACAGTGAGACTCTGCCTCAAAAAGACAAAAAAGACAAAGATGATGAAGGAAAAGGAGAAGCAGAAAGAAGAGGAGGAGGAGGAGGAAGTGGAGGAAGAAGAGGAGGAGCAGGATAAGAAGTAAGAAGAAAAAAAGTTCATCGGTAGGTAGGTGAATAGAGAGTGGTAATGTCAGGCTTGAATCTGGAGGTATAATCCAACGGAACAGAAATCCAAGGCAGTTGGTGATAACTGAGTAAACAGAATGTAGTAATTGGTTCTCTTATTCCTCATCGTGCCTTATTTCTCACTTCATTATAGGAAAAGAAGGAAAAATGACAGAATTCAGCCCTGAGGAGAAGGATTAACAAAGTAAAAGTTAAGGCTTTATCCATTGGCCCAGGAATTGAGAAATGGAATCCTTTCCTAAGAAAGAAAGGGGCTATAAGAGAAGTAAGCATAGAAATCAGGAGCACCGTGGAGAATTCTAAATATGTAGCCTACATCAGAATGGAATGGAGTAGCCTTCTCCATCTGAAGGCCAGGTACAGTTCCAGGGCGTATCCCTGATACAGTCCTTATCAGACTTGTGTGGCCATGAGGGAGATAGAAAGGTCTTTTCTATACATGGTCACATTATAGATCTAAAACTTCTAAGGGCTCAGAGTAAAAGTTATACTCCTCTGGGAATATATAATCTTAATTTTTATACTTTAAATTTTTTAACTCTCAGTATATACCAGTTCTCTCTCACCTCATGTTTTTTCTTTATAAGTTTCAATACTTGTTGTTATTCTAATGATTGAACTCAGGCCCTCAGATGTGCTAACCATGTGCTGTATCGCTGAGCTACACTCGAACTCCTCAGTACTTTTTATTGAATGAATTAAAATCACAATAAAACTAACTGAACCACATAAATTTGACTCTGTTGAAATTGGTTTTTGGGGTTGGAATTTAACATGACTTCCTGACAAAACATGGTTTAGAAAAGTACTGATAAAGATAGCCATTTATTTAATTGTTGAATTGAACATGGCCATAATTAAAATATTAAAAGAGATGATCCCTAGCCTCAAGAAGATTACAGTCTCTCAGGGAATGTAGAGAAATAGGAAATACATTCACACTGGAAGAGTAGCTGAAAGTGGGATGACAGCCGAGAGGTTCTACTGACTTCCCCAATGTAAAGATCTCACAGTGTATCTTTTGAGAATTCAATATTAGGAAAAATTGTTTCTGCTAATGAACTAATACACTCTTTTTTTGTCAGAAAAATATAATTTACTTTTCCCTTGGTCCTCTGGAAAACCAGGGCTATCATTAGTTTTCCACCTTAGTAATTATTCTCAGCTTGTCTCTTACTCAAATATTTTTTTCTTGGAATTTCCTCAGAATTATTTTGTTAATTGGTAGAGAATAAATAACAGATCCTTCCTGATCTATCATGCTGCTTACCTCACTAGACACATAGTGAGTAGTAACAAATACTATTATTTTAAAAATAGTTGATGATCCTAGATTTTTGTTGAAATACGTTTTTCAGGACCAGATTTCAAATAATACCATGCTGGATGAAAAAGAAAGTAGGGTCTTAGTATTCATGTGAATAAAGAAGATGGACAAGAGAACACATTCGATCATTTAAGATTAAAAAAAAAAAAACAGACATTTACAAGTCAGTATCCTTGAGTGTGTAGAAGTTAGCCCTGATATTGTGCACACTTTGGATTTTTTTTATTTAAAGAAAGAAAAGAAAATTTAAAAAAAAAAAACAAGAGAAAAAAGAATAATACAGAATTAAAAAAATTAACATCATAAAATTGCTAGTTGATACATTACATATTGTCATCTTAAAAATAGTAGTTAAAGTTACAAAATCAAAGCATAAAAAGTGGCTTGACACTCAAACATTGAGAGTGAAGATCCTTCTGTTCCATGATCTAACAGAAATGTAGTAATATGGTCATCTATCTTACATACTATACATACTGTTATATCCTTTAGAGCACTTTCCTTCCCTTTCACTTTTACAATATCTATTACAGTTTTGGATCCCATTACTCTGTCAGTTTTTGTTATTTTTTACACTAGAGAGACAATGTGATATTTACTAATGTGAGTCTTATTTATTTCACTAATGAGGATATTCTCAAGTTGTCTCCATTTACCTATAAAGGCCTCAAGATCATCCTTTTTATAGTTGGTAGTATTCCATTGTATAAAAATACCACATTTTTTTCATCCACTCTGCAGGTGATGGGCATTTTGGTTGTTTCCAAGATTTAGCTATCACAAATTGTGCTGCCGTGAACATGGGTGCATGTATATCACTATGACATGACCATTTCAGTTTTTCTGGGAAAATACCCAGAAGGGCAATAGCTGGATTGAATGGAACTTCCAATCCTAGCTTTTTGAGGAATCTGCATAATGATTTCGACAGTGGTTGCACCAGGCTGCACTCCCACCAACAGTGTAGAAGTGTTCCTTTTCCCCGCAGCCTCGCCGAAATTTGTTATCCGTTGATTTCTTAATTGCAGCCATTCTCTCCTGGGTGAGATCAAATCTCAGTGCTGTTTTAATTTGCATTTCTCAAATGGCCAGTGATGGTGAACATTTTTTCGTATATTTATTTGCAGTTTTTCTGAGATTGTACACACTTTGAGAAATTTATGGAAATTGCTTAATAAATGCAGAAATTCAGTGAAAAAGATACTGAAATTTTTTACCAAAGGAAGTAGCTAATCCTAGCCCCATAGGACTTCAATTATGGTCTGTCATTAAATCGAGTAAGTTAAAAGTCTCAGACTCTCTATAAGTTAGTTTGACTATTTAAATATTTACTAGCTGACTTAGTTTGGACAACCACAGTAAATATACATTGCATTATGTGGTTTAAACATTACATATCTTTTTTTCATTTTTCTGGAAGACTGAGAAGCCTGAGATCAAGGTGCTAGCACATTATGAATGCTGAGAGCCCAGCTTCTGCCATACAGACGCCTGGGGTGGGGGCTTTCTGTTCTTTTCCTCTTCTTTAAGGATGCTGATCCAATCATGGGAGCTTTAATCTTATTGACTCCATTGTATCCCCTCTTCTCAATCACGTCACATTGAGAGTGGGATAGCGAATGTGAATATTTTAGAGAGAAACAGATATATACTCCATAGGATGCCCCTCCACCTGCAGAATACATTCATTCCATCTCATTGCCTTAACGGCTTGACTTATCCCATGTTATGGATTAAATCTAAGAGGTTACCATAATTGTCATGTGTTTGTGAAACAGTTGTAGCATGGAGGTTCTATACCCCTCCGTGGATCCATCCATTTTTGAGTCCATAGCTGCATGTACTGTTAGGAGGTGGGCCTCACTGGTGGGGTATTACTGAAGAATGCATTCTAGTCCTCTCATTTTCTATTTTCTCTCTTTTTCTATCCACGGGGAGAGCACCTTTCCTCCACCAAGGCCCTCTGCCATGTTGTTTCTGCTTGTCTGCCTTGCAGCTAGCCACCTGTGGACTGAATCCTATAAAAATTGAGCCAAAACAAACTTCTCCTCTATTATGGTGAAATGTTGGTTTACTTCTTAATTTTTTGATACTGGGAATCAAACTCACAGCCTCATAAGCATGTACACTATGCCGCTGAACTATATACCTAGCATGTTGGCTATGTTTTTCTCAATAATAAAACATTGTTTGATGAAGTCCAGCATTACTTCTAAGTCTAAAGTTCAGACTCTTATCTATACATACCACCCAAATTAAATGAGTGAGAATTTAAGCTGCAATTCATCCTGAGCACAATTCTCTTCCAGCTGTGAACCTGTGAACCACAACTTACACGCTTCCAAAATATAATAGTAGATAAGCATAGGATCGATATTGTCACTGCAAAAGTTTGGAGAGAAACAAGGGAAAAGGAAGGGATATAAGATCCCAAGGAAATTTAAAACTCAGCAAGGCACGTCCTGTGAAATTTTTTCATGGGTGGTACTTTAACCTGTAGGCCCAATGGGATGGCAGTGTCACCTGTAAGGTTCTTGGATGCTGATTTGCCTCGGCTCTCTGCTGGCACCCTGCCCATACCTTTTTCTTGCTCAGTAGGGTACCCGCCTCCAGCATTCTGCCAAGCATGATCCCTGCCCCCTGGTTTCTACTGGAGGCCATGTGCCATGCTGAAACTTAGTGTTACCCCTGATATCAAAGCCATTCTTCCCTTTTCCTGAAAAATAGCATAGTGCTACAGCTGACTACATCTATTAGTCCTGTCCTGATAGAGTCTGAGAAATCTGAGTCAGTCTTTTTTCCATCCCAATTTCTTCAGTTGAAAGAGCAGTTTTTTGCTGGGTTAGCTGATTGTATTCACACCCATGGTATTATCCTTTTAAAAGTTTCCTCAGGCACATCCTTAGTGTTCTGTTAAGACCATACCCTCTCATTTTTGGCATAATAGATAAGCGAAGAATTTTCCAGATCTGTAACCTCTGTATCCTTTTTCAGAACAGATTCTTCATTTCTATCTTTTAAAAAATCTATTTCATTTTTTTAATATGAAGCTACTTTTTATTTTTACAAATTTTTAGATCTTTACAATACATTATGATTACATTCCTTGTAGAGACTTGGGACACATATATAACACACTGTACTTCCTGTTACTTTTCTTCCCTTTCCCTCCCTCCATCTCTGGTACCCTTCCCAACTGTAAAAGATCTTTTGCTAAACTGCAATTTCATTGCCCTCAACTTCTGCCTTACACAAAACACAAACACAAACAATTTAACCAAGTTCATGAGGTTAGTTTTCTTTAGCTTATTTGAATTTTTATTGTATTTTTTAAAAAGACAATGTTCAAATGAAAATTGCCTTTTAGTATTCTGGTTCAATTTTAAAATTGAATCAAATGATTAAAAATTTCTTCTAATATATCTTGTTTATGCTTAAATATATGTACGTCTTGCTAAATTCCTACAACTTACCTCTAAATTTCTTTGCCACATTGGCCAAGCATTTAGATTATAAGAAATATAGAACACATTTAACTTTCTCCAACAGTAGAAATTTCCAATCTTTCTTTCTTTCCACTTACAAATCGTCAAGGAATGTTTGATAATTATAAACATTAACTTTCTAAAAGTTTCTAATAACCTGTCAGCTAATAACAAACCTTGATTTTCTCTGTAGAATGATGTCCTGTGAATTAATAATACAATGAAGATTAGTGGCCAGCGTATTTCCTTTGTTGCATTACTTTTCACATTACCTAGGGAAAGATTGCTATTGCAGCAGCATTAAGTATGTAATGAAAGTTTCTACCAGTGTTACTGGCTGAACTTTAAATTTTCAGTTTTCTTTCTGTTATACAATGTTAGGACATCCACACAAATATTAAATACTTTTACATTGTCTCAATATTGACTATGTAGTGATATATCAGATCTCTATAGAATATGACAAACTGGAATGCTGAATGACCTTCGGATAGTCTGGAAGGTTGTACAGTAGGCTGTCTGAACAGGTGCCTTCGTTACTGTGTGCTATGTTGCATCCTCTCTCCTTCTCACAGAGGCCTGTCAGGGCTGTCATTTGGAATCCATCTATATAATCTGTCACCCAGCTGTGAGCTCCTAGAGCACACTGGTCAAGAATAGCTCTCGGCAGTTCCTAACAGTGTTTTTGAAAGTGAACCTTTAAAGAAGTACACTGATATTTTTGATTGTCTTGTATATCAGAAAGCAGCAGTAGCATCTTCATGGCCATCACCCACATCTTGCGTACATGTCTCTTTCAGTCTTCGTAACACTTGTATGAGTTCACTGTTAGAATCCCCACTTTTCACCTGAGAAACATTTATGTTTTTCTTTCTTTAGATGTATGATTTTTCATTGAGTTTCTGTCTCAACAATCTGTAC